ACCCACCAGCCCTACCCCCTGACCCCGCCCCTCTTCCGCAACCAGCCCCACCCCCTTCCCGGCCAGTCCCCCCTCCCTCCCTCAAGTGTGTCCAGTATTTTTTCTAAACCTACCTGGTAACCCTGCGGGCGGGTGTATCTGGAGCCTAATCTTCTCTGAAGAAGGGGTTCACCTGCTGCCCATGCCTGTTACAGTTGGGTTCTGGTCCAGGTCTGTATCTCCTTTGTGTTATAGTAATGCAAAAAAATAAGTAATTGTCTATGTGTGCAAATGCTGGGTTTCATGTAGGCAATATCGTTTTGTGGGTGTGATTGCTACTTGGCTTCTTGAAAGGAAGTAATAAACTTTAGAGGACCAGATTCAAGTTCATTTCCACCAGTTTAAATCTCCTTCATCATACCAAACTTCTCTCCTTGGTGGAGCCTTTCAGGCCAGGATTTAGCCCAAAAAGGGTATTTCAGACACACTGTTTCATTGCTAATGAGTATTATAGATATTGGAGGATTTTTTTATTTTAAAAATCTTCAGCTATTACAATGTCTTTTTCTTTGTTTGTTAGTGGAAGCAAGAAGTTTCCTCAATAATTATTGGAAAAGTGATGATTCTGCAAGATCAGAATTTCACAGGACTGATTGCTGGAGTTGTCTCAATATCAGTGTTATTTTTATTGTTGTTGGGCTTTTTTCTATGGATGAAAAGGAAAAAACAAATTAAAGGTGAATTATTGCTAATTTTATGAAATAATTTAAAAATGTGGGGGAGTTTTGTAAAGCTTAACTATTGTATGCACTGCTTACATGTAATGCAATAGCCTTTTCATATACCCTGCCTGTAGAAACGGCCTAATATAGGTCCAATCTTTAACTGCATTTCAGCTCCTTTTTGGTGCCAAGACTGTATGAAAGGCCAAAAAATACATCTGGCCTTCTGAGAACAGGAAGATTTTAGGTGAGGCAGGATAACCCTAGCCTTGCCTCTCCTCTATTCAGTCTTGGCAAAAGGGATAGGAAGAGAGCCTGGCTGGAGTGAACTGTACTTCATCTATACCAATGTTTTTTCAACTGTGTTCCGTGGCACACCGGTGTGCCGCCGAAAACAACAGAGTTCAAAATGGACACCCTTAAAGGGGCAGGCAACCTTTTTTTTCTCAATAACTCCCCCCCTCCCCAACCTTTTTCTTTTTCTCTCAACAAAAAATCCTTGTGTTCCTCATAAAAAAAAATTGTTTGGTGTCCTTCGGTCTTAAAAAGTTTAAGAAACACTGATCTATACTCAGCTATTGTAGAGTCCCTTACAGACTATAACCAGCTGGTATAAATTAGAGCAACACGCAATCTGCTCTACCTTTTTTGTTGAGTATCAGAACAACATCTATCCCTCTTTCAAATTTCCCTGGTGGCCTCTCTTCTCATCACAGCCAAAAATCTTGCCTCTATGTATGTTCTAAATTAGAATTGACACACATTGTACATGACTGTTTGACACTGTTTCTTTCATACCGCTTTTCAGATCTGGGTAGTGATTTAGTTCGTTATGATGGAAGAGTGCACACTCCTCATTTGGATAGGCTTGTGAGCGCAAGGAGTATAAGTCCAACTACAGAAATGGTTTCTAGTGACTCAGTAGACTACAGATCAACATTTCTAGAAGGTGCGTGTCTGTTGTTAATCTGAGCAGGAGTTGCAAATTTTTAACTTTCTCATGTTTCAGCTATCTTCATAGAAACACCTGTTTTGAACTATATCTTATAGCTTAATTTTTTCATAAGACCTGTCTGTCTTTTGTTAGAGACCTTTACCTGCTTTTTTTAATAGAAAGTAGACTTCAGGGGTATTTCACCATGTTAAATTGAAGGATTTTTTTATTATTATAATTTTCACTATAGTCTAAGTGGTAAAATGAGATGAGACTAGAGAACACATTGTAAAATCAGTGTAAACAGTCAAAGAAAAAAATACCATATTCCAAACCTTAATGAGGAACTGTGGATTTATTAATTTTTTACTCTATGTTTATGTAGGCCTACCAGGTAAAAAGTGGAGTTCTAAGGATAACAGTGTTTCAATGACTCCTACATCAGCTATGCTCACTTAAAAATGAAATGCCATATATTCTAAGTGTCCAACATGGCAATTCAGCTAAGGATTCAAAAATCAAGCTGTGTGATTACTTCTGCTTATGTTGGGTCTTTCTCAGGGTACATCTAAACTACATCCCTTTTTCGATAAAGGGATGTAAATTAGACGTATCGAAATTGTAAACGAAGCCGGGATTTTAATTTCTTGCACTTCATTTACATAATGGTGTCTGCGGCTTTTTTCAAAAAGCTGCTTTTTGAAAAAAAAAACCTGCGGTGAAGTCATGGATTTTTCGACAGAAATGCCCTGTTTCAAAAGAGCCTGTAGGTTACAGGTTCGATCCTGTAGGTTACAGGATTTTTCGAAACGGGGCTTTTCTCTCTTCACCGCATTTTTTTTTTTTTTGAAAAGCGGCTTTATGTAAATGAAGCATGAGAAATTCAAATCCCGGTTTCATTTATAATTTTGATGCGTCTAATTTACAACCCTTTATCGAAAAAGGGATGTAGTTTAGATGTACCCTCTGTCTCTCTTTCCAAACTTGTCTTCCTTTTACAAAATGCTTGAAGAGTCACTGAGCTTGAGATTCACCTGGTGGCCAAGGCATTCATTCAGGGGAGAGGGAGACCAAGTTCACATCTTTGTGCCAAGAAGTAGTCAGTTACTTATAGGCTACGTCTACACTGGCCCCTTTTCCGGAAGGGGCATGTAAATTTCACTAGTCGTCGTAGGGAAATCCGCGGGGGATTTAAATATCCCCCGCGGCATTTAAATAAAAATGTCCGCCGCTTTTTTCCGGCTTTTAAAAAAGCCGGAAAAGAGCGTCTAGACTGGCCCCGATCCTCCGGAAAAAGTGCCCTTTTCCGGAGGGTCTTATTCCTACTTCAAAGTGCCCTTTTCCGGAGGGTCTTATTCCTACTTCAAAGTGCCCTTTTCCGGAGGGTCTTATTCCTACTTCGAATAAGAATAAGACCCTCCGGAAAAGGGCGCTTTTTCCGGAGGATCGGGGCCAGTCTAGACGCTCTTTTCCGGCTTTTTTAAAAGCCGGAAAAAAGCGGCGGACATTTTTATTTAAATGCCGCGGGGGATATTTAAATCCCCCGCGGATTTCCCTACGACGACTAGTGAAATTTACATGCCCCTTCCGGAAAAGGGGCCAGTGTAGACGTAGCCATAGAGAGTGGAATAGCTTGAATGGGAAAAATTGAGAAAGCCAGACAGCACTGAATTGGGCACTCTCCTGTAATGTGGGTGACCTATATTCAGACAGCTGGTCTACATCAGGCCAAGGGGAGAATTAAATGTGGATCTTCCACATCCTTGGTGAGTGTCCTAACCACTGAGCTAAAGATACCACTAATTCCTCCTTCTCCATTTGTTTGGAGAAGCTAACCCTTAATTTATTTTGTTTTTATGTTAATAATATATCCAGAAACCACAGTGAACAGTAAAGTCAAAGTAAACAATTTGTTCAATAATTGTATGGACTTTTTTGATGGCTGAAATTTTTTAGAATTTTTTAATTTGATTTGGGTCAAACTGATTTTTTCCTCTACCTCCATTTTTTTGGAACTGGCAACAAACCAAAAAACAATTATTCTCCTCGCTGTGTCTAGGACATGTTTGCCATACTCTCCTGCATGGTTCCTTTATCTTCTTGATACAAAAGAAAGCTACATATTTTACCTAGAAAATCACAAAAACTTAATTAATACTAAGTATGTGTTTGATATGCATATTAGTTACTATAAGGAATAAAATGAAAAGAGCATTGGAAAGCTTAGAAGGCATATTGATAACAGGTTTTAACATTATTTTACAAAACTGGAAAGACTCTTGTCAGTTACACATGATAATGGATACATTCCCTCCTGGTACTACATAAATGTGAGAGGGATTTCTGTTTCTAAACAGAACAGCATGGAGTCAGAATCTGGAATCCAATTAATAATTTTAATACTATCTGCATCTTATAATTTCATGTAACATATTTATGTCCAATTTCTTTTTTCTTACTAAAATAGCCTGATCCGTTAGAGTTTCTTTCTTTGACTATGAACTAAATTCTGCTCACTGCCTCTGCTGAAGTCATTCCATATGTAACTAAAAACAAAATTAGGCTCTTTGATTTAAGGCTCTTAAGAAGTGGGTAATTAAGTAATCGTGCACTCAATACAATTGTGTACGCCTACTATATTTAAATTGAAGAGCCACAGCGGGGGGTTGGTCCCAGACCTACCCTACTGCACCTCTGCCTTTTAAATGTAGTAAGAGCCAGGTGGCTCTTACTACGTTTAAATGGCAGAGGAACAGCAGTCAGGGACCCAGCAGGAGCTGGGACTGCAGAGTCCTGGCTCACGCCTGGTGCTGGACCTACCTCACCCGGCTCTTGTTTCATTTAAAAGACAAAGTGCAGTGGGGGCACGTACGGGACCTTCCGCAAGCCAGGACTCATCAGTCCTGGCTCCTGCTGGGTCCCTGACCGCTGCATCTCTGCCTCCCCTGCACCTTCCCCCCTAGCACAGAGACAGTGCTGGGGGACCGGCTTTTAAGCCAGCTCCCTTCAGCACTAGCTCCTGCTTCCCCACTCCTTTCTGCCTCTGATACAGAGGCAGCAAAGGAGGGGGAGCGAGTAGTCAACTAATCAACTACTCTTTTACATCCCTACTTTGATTCTGTTGTGCAAAATGGTAGTAAAATGTGAATGGTATTTTGATTTAAACTATTCCCACATAATTTGCTATGCTTAACTGAAACATTGCAATTGCTGTAATTTAAAATCTGTTGGCAGATTTTTTTTTTTCAAATTACAGCACCTGGTTTTTTGTTGGGTTTGGGGTTTTTTTATGTTACACCAATTACATTATCTTTGGAAGCTACAGGATATGAATCACTCTTAGGCATTTCCCTGGTTGAATATTGACTATTAGCTTGTCACGGGCTGTTTTTGATTGCTCATGGAATTATAATCAGATAGTAATCCAAAATTGTGTATTCTGAATACTTTACTATTTACTACTTTATCTGTGTTCTTCTCCAATTTTACTCCTATCAATGGCTAAATATTCTAGCTATATTGGCTAGATAAGGAAGGGCCTATTCCCTCTCACATAAGTGGCAGTTTTGCCTTTTACTTCAAAAGAAATTGGGTTGGGCCCTAAATAAACTTCTATCTTTGGTGCCATAGGATACATGAGCTTTGACAAGGCAGCAACATGTACTTTCCTCTTCCGTTTTGTGATTGAGAGTGTTGGCTAACTTCCAAACTGATTGAGTATAACTGACTTTGTGCAAGTACCGGTTAAATACAACTCTTGAGCTTCCAGTGAGCAGAGAAGGAATCCTAAAAGAATTAAACTAATTTCTGTTTATTTTGCAGATCAGTTTCCAAATTTTTCTCAGAATGGCTCATGCAGACCAGCACAGTATTCTCACACAGACCTATCCCCCATTCTGTCTAGTGGGGACTCAGATTTAGCTAGTCCACTGCTGCAAACTAATGTTCACATTGACATCAGTGCCTTAAACCCAGACCTGGTGAAAGAAGTTCAGCATGTGGTCATTGGGGCTGACAGCCTGATTGTGCATTTCAGTGAGATAATAGGAAGAGGTAGGTATTTCAGCTCTTATCTTGCTAACAGCATTTTTGCACAACCATTCATTATATTCCTTTCTGAAGTCAGCATCTCATTTTGCTTCAGCTACCCCAGACTAACACGGCTACATTTCTATCACTATTCAGCATCTTATATATCATTGAAATGTATTGCAATTATTATTTTAATTAGAGCCTTGTGCACATTGTGTGCTTTTATAGATTGAACACATGGCTTGTACTAGGGACACATCCCTCCATATGCTCCCCACCCCCAAACCTTCCTATGTGCCATTCACTCCCCCCCCCCTGTATTTCGGGGACTCCTTGTATTATCCCCCATGCCAGGGGCTCTGTGTCATGCTCCCTGTTACACTGTTCAGCCACATGACATGGACTCTATGTTCACTATGCACCTCTCCCTTCATTGCACCCTTCTCCCCCATGCTAGGGGCTCTGGATGCCCCTGATTCTACCCCTCAATGCCAGAGATTTTGTGTCCCTTCATGCCTATGAGTATTATGTTCCCCCATTCTCCCTCCCAAGTCCACAGCCTCTGAGTGCCTGACTTGCTCCAAGGTTCCCCATTCTTCCAGACCCCCATGCCAATGTCAATTTTGGACACTTCATCATGCACGGGTGACCTAAGTGAAAATTTTAGATTTCAGCACCTCAAGCACCTAGAGCAGGGGGCTGGACTTGATGACCTTCTGAGGTCTCTTCCAGTTCTATGGTTCTATGATTCTATGAACATCAGGCATAAAATGTTTCCAATTGAGCACCCAAAAACTGGGGGTTAGAAAACCAGGGAACAGTGATGGAAGCTTCTCTGTAAACCATTTGTCCAATTTCTCTGGTGCAGGAAAATAGTCAAAATTAAATAAACAGGCACTGTATTCTGCCTCAGTGCATTATAGTTATACTGGTAAGGGTTGCATTTTGAATTCGTAAATGTTGGTTTTACTGTACCTTGCAATATTTCTATTGATGATAATCAATATTTACAAATGGACAAAGTAAGAAAAATGCTATTTGAGAATTTAATAGAGTTTGGTTTCAGCATGTTTTCTTTGTATATTTTGACATGGGAAGTTGACAATTTGAGATTTAACTGTTGTATAGCTTTAACTTTCTGAATCTCAATATCTGTCATTAAATAATTTTCCTGGTTCCCCCATGATTTTTAAATTAAATTAATGGAGAGTGCCTATCTCCTAGAACTGGAAGAGACCTGGAAAGGTAATTGAGTCCAGTCTGCTGCCTTCACAGCAGGACTAAGTACCATCCCAGACAAATTTTTGCCCCAAGTTCATAAGTGGTCTCTGCAAGGATTGAACTCATGATCCTGGGTTTAGCAGGCCAATGCTCAAACTACTGAGCTATCCCTCCCCCTTTTACCTCTTGTGCCCAATGAATTTCTCACAACTGTGAAAATTTAAATGTATAAACATCAAAAAGCTTAAATTATATTTGTTGCAATTATTAAAGGACTAAAATTTGAATTTTGCCAACCCTAATTTATAGATTGTTTCCCATAGCAAGAGCATTGCTTTATTTTTTCCCAAAACAAAATTCCCATATATTTTTTCGATATTATCAAACTACCAAGAAATGTCACTAATATCATTTGCTAGGCTCCTCATCTCCTTATTTTAAATTGCCCCTTTTGTAGGCAGAAAGGGACAAAACCAGAAAATTTTTAATGACTCATATTTGAGTATTTGCATAAAATGTACCCAGGTTCCAAGCTTGGGAAATTTTGGTTACTTTTAGAAAAAAGTCTGCTAGCTAGCTCCAGTTTTGAGAACTAAACCTTTGGTTTTGCTCAGAACTTTTTACTCTGGATATTAATTCCTTAGCTTTATTTTCTGCAGTGCTAATGCATATAAAACTGCTTTAGCTCTATGGCTGCCAGCATTAATATTAATTTAAAATGATCCTTTACCTCTTGTACCCAATGAATATGCATTAATGATATTGGCAGGCAAACCCTTTCATTAGACCTATTTAAGAACAGGCAACCTCATTGATTGGGATTCTCCAGGGTATCTATTTTTATTAATTGTGATAAGTAAGTGTTCTCTGAATATGCACAGCCCTGGAGCTCTAAGTGCTGTGTTGAGCCACAGAACAAGTTACTGTGTCTGTGACCGGGTATGCTTCTCCATGCTGCCCCTTCCTTAACCCAAAGGCCCCTCTGTAGAGATGAAAAAGGATATCAGTCTACATTCCTATTCAATTCTCTGCTGAGACTGCCAGTAAGAAGGCAAATTGTTATTAGCATTGTTTGGTGACACATTCTCTAAACATTAGGGCCATATTCCAAAGCCCATTGAAGTCAATCGGAAGACTCCAGTTGATTTCAGACAGCTTTGAACCTGGCTCTATGCAAGATACCCAACTTATTAAACAGAAACATCTGACTAGATTTTTAACTTGTGAACTGAAGATGAAACACTCAGGCCCCCCTTCTCACTTCCTTGAATCATTCAGTCCCCTCCTCCAGAATACATTAAATAGCAGAGTTGTGGCAGAGGAGTGGGGAGATGGAATGTTGAATTTTTTAAATAGTCATTGCAAGAATATTAGGCAGTTGTGGTGTTAGCCTTCTGTCATTTACTTTTTTCTTGATTTAGATTAAAAGAATATCCATTATGCTGGAAATAGAGTTTTAGCTTTGTATATTTGCAGTTTAGTGTGTCATAAAGCATACATTGCAAATGTCTGCTATTAGAGTCTATAAAGACTATATTATAGCATAATTGCTAGTTAGTAAAGTAAAAAGTAATATAAAGCTAATCTTACTGAAATTGAGGCTAACCTTACTCATTCTTCACACAGGGCATTTTGGGTGTGTGTACCATGGGACATTGTTGGACAGTGATGGAAGGAAAATTCATTGTGCTGTAAAGTCCTTGAACCGTGAGTTACATTCTTTAATAGTGAGGCATCATCATAGCTCCTAAGACAGCCTGAGTAACTGTAATAGCAAATTGAACTGCAGAGTTCCACTTTCACCTATAAAAGATGGACTTCAGCTTCAACTACTATGAGTCAGATTCACCCCTGGGCTAATTACATTACTTTCAGTTCTGCTACAGAATGGATAAATGGGACTCTGTAAATATGTGTGTTGAAGAGAATGTTCACACCTTCCCCAAATACAAATATGGGTGTAGGAGGAGAGGGAGGAAAGGGGAAATAGCATTTTGCACACCATTAACTTGGCTTAGCTTTGATTTTTATAAATGAAAGTGTTGAAAACCAGCAGAAGGAAGTTGATGCATATCGCAATAATGATTCATTCCTGGCTTTATCTTCAGGCATTACTTTTTTTTAAAATTACTCTAAAAAAGGTGAGAATTTAAAAAATAATAAAGTACGATATATCCACACGATTGGTTATTGAATATGTTCTATCATATGGCTTGCTGTGAACCTGAAAGTGTTGAAAACTTATTACACTAAACTCTAAATATAAATATTAATATGCAGTTCAAACTGAAAAGACTCCTACATTAGGAATGTAAGTGACTAATCGACTAGTCGCTTCCTCATCCCTTGCTGCATCTATCAGAAAAAGGCAGCAAGGGGAGGAAGAAGTAGGAGTACTGGGGGGAGGAGCCGACTTAAAAGCTAGTTCCCCTCTGCTCCAGCTCTGTGGGAGGGGGAAGGGGCTCAGTGGTGGCGTTCTGCCTTTGAAATGTACAAGAGTCCCTGCTGAGGCTATTGTACATTTCAAAGCGGAAGCACCGCACGGAGTCTGGAGCCAGCGGGGGACTCTGAGTTACTATAAAAATTAATTGAATTAATTAATAACTGCATATTTATATTTAGAGTATAGTCCAGTAAGTTTTCAACACTTTCAGGTTCACAGCAAGCCGTGTGATCGAACATATTCAATAACCCATCATGTACGTATATCTGTCTCTCTCAAGTACTTTATTATTTTTTTAATTCTTACCCCTTTTTATAGTAACTCTGAGTACCCAACTGGCCCCAGGCTCCATGTGGCGCTTCCACTTTGAATTGTACAAGAGGCACCCGGAGACGCCCTGCTGGCCCCGAGTTCCACGCAGAATTTCAAAGGCAGAACACCACGCGGTACTTCAGCCTTTGAAATGTAGCAGCAGTCTGGTGGTTCTTGTTACATTTCAAAGCAGAAGCACCCTTAGCAGCTAATCAAATAGTCGATGGAAATCCCAGCAACTATTCGGTCAGTTGATTAATCTAATTTTAACATCCCTATCATACATGTGAATAACTTTATTAATATGAATAGCATCATTGAGGTCACTGTGGCTGTTCACATGAATACAGTCATGCTTTATGGAATCATGCCCACTGACTTCAATATGAATCACATACAGAACACCACAACCATATTTAGATCAGTGTTTCAGTTATACCTCTCTCCGTGATTTTTTTGTGATGGTACGGCCTGGAACGGAGTACCGTCACCTTTTTTCCCAGCACACAGAAAAGGAACGGCATTTCCCCCTTGTGTACCGGCACCTGTTTTCCTGGGGCGGCACGGCTCCTGATGGAAGCCTGCTCAGGACACATGGCCCTTAAAGGGGCCACGGCCGCATTTCAGCCCCCAGCGCAGGAGGAAGGGAAGTTTCGGCTCTCAGCTCAGTGTTTTGGCTCTTAAAGGGGTCGCGACCGCATTTCGGCTCCCAGTACGGCGTGTTATTTTTTGCTCAACAACTTTGCCCCGGAGTACTGGCATCTTTTTTCTTACAAAAAAAGCACTGCCTCTCCCATTGGTGATGGTGAGAAAATGACCAGTTTTCAAGATTATATCTATCCCCTGAAGATTCTGATGAGTTAGAATTTATTGAACCTGAGATGTATTGTTGTTTGATTTCTCTCTCTCTCTTCCTTTCCTTCTCCATCCCCTTGTTGTCGGATCTCTCAGGAATTACAGACCTAGAAGAAGTAGCTCAGTTTCTCAAAGAAGGAATCATCATGAAAGATTTCACTCACCCCAATGTCCTGTCGCTGCTGGGAATTTGCTTGCCCACTGAGGGATCTCCTTTGGTGGTGCTCCCTTATATGAAACATGGAGACCTTCGGAACTTCATTAGGAATGAGGCTCACGTAAGTATAGTATCAGATCTATTAAATGGTGCAACCAGTTTAGGCATTCTCTATGCTCTTTAATAGTATTATAGGTTACAAGTTCTAACCATTCTGTTTATAAAATGGTGTAATTTCTGTCCATTAACCACTGTCCTGATTAGAGATGTAAAATCCTGTTTAACATATTGTTTAACCAGTTAATTGATTAAAGGAATAGGAGAGCGGGGGCCCTCATTTGGCCTGCAGCAGCCCCTGTCCTTGGCAGGCCCTTGCCATCAAGGCTGGAGGGAAGCTGCTCTAGCTTCCACTAGTTAACCTTAACCAGTATGCATCACCCATTAAGGGTGAGGCTTACTGGTTAACTGATTAAAGATTCACATCCCTAGTTCTGAGAGTCCTACATACCCTTCCAGAATATATCCACAGAACTCACTGTCAATGAAGATTTCCCATTTCCATCTGTAAGCTCTTTGTTAAGAAATTTTGTTTCTTAGATTAAAGTTGGTGGGTGAGAACATCTGGTGATGTAAATTTGCACAGTTCCATTAACTACACGGGAGCAGGCCTGATTTATACCCACCACAGAGCTGACTCCATCTGATGCAAAAGTCTAACTGCCCTAGGTTCTGAAACCAGTGCGAACCTCCCAGGCCATCCCAGTCATTTGTGCACATTCTCTCCAAAGCTTCCACCCCTTGGGCAGCCTGGTGTATAGTTTAACTCTTCGTGGACACGACATGTAAAGTAAGAGACAGAGGCTTTGTATGGGAACTTCTTTAACATGGACACTTCGCTCTTAGCACAGGAGCAGTACAGAGACAGGCAAAACAACGTCTTGAGTGCAGTTCCCCCTCCCCTGCGTCCTTATCATTCCTGAGTGTCTTTGGGATTTGGTCGATGTTCTTGGGGAAATGACTGCCCCCACTCCTCCATCTATGTCACGTTTCTCAGGTTGGAATGGCTCTCCATGCTTGGAAACCGTGTCACTTAAAAGCTGTGTGTGAAGCCTTTTCTCTTTCTGCCCTTCCAGTGAATATTTTCCAGGCTGTAACCCATAGATGCTGACTCCATGGGTGCTCCAGAGCTCAAGCATCCATGGGGAAAAAATACTTTGTGCTCAGCACCCCCTAGCCACAGCTGTTCCACACTCCATCCATCAGTTGTTCTGCAGCACTGCTCCCAGCTGTTGAGCAACTGGGGGAGGCACTTGAGGGAGGGCAGAGAGCAGTGAACAATAGGTGGGAAGGGGCCTGAAGGGAGGGGTTGAAGCTGAGGTGGGGAGAGGCAGAGCAAGGACAGGGAATCAAGAAGAGGGGTGGAACTAGGGGTGGGATCTTTGGGGCAAAACACCCCCAGGGGGAAATAAGTCAGCACCTATGCACCAACCCCCACTGGAAATACTGAGTCAGAAAGTCATTAAAAGTCAGTGACTGTGTCAGAGCAGGATTGAACTATTCAGTTGTTGATGGGCCTGTTCCAGTCTCCGAGCCATAGTCCCTTTTTGTCCCCAAATTGGAGGTACTCACTTATATAAAGGTTCCTATAATAATTTTGATTGATAATGTTGTTCAATCAAAAGACAGTAAAGAATTCATAAATGGATATGGTCACTGAGACAGAGAACAAAAGATTTTAACAACTGTGCGGGCAACATTGGAAGTGAATATTTAAAGTGAATAGGCCAAATGCTGTTCCCCTACTGATATGCCCTTTAAATTTAATCTGCTATGTGGAGGTTGTATAGCTGGTATAGTAACTCCATGTGAGTCCATCACTGAGTTGACAAGGCCCCGGGTGAATCCCCTACACTCTGATGACCCTTTTTTGCTGGGGTGATCCTTTGGCACCATGGCAGCCACGTGTAACTTAGTGCAGCCCAAAGGCTACTTGAAATTATACTAGGAGTCAAACTAGCCCCCTGCCAACCTTTGCCTAACCCATCCCTTGATACTGTGGTAAAAATACCTTGACTAGATCAGGGTTTATGGTCCATTATATTATATATTTCATGACCAGAAGTTGTGCTGGTTTCACTTGTTTCCTCTTACACTGTCTTTCTATCAAGATAAAAGTTGTTTAGCTACTGTTATCTGGAGCCTGATCTAAACTTGTGCCTGCGTTCACTGCCATCTTTTGCCTTTCACTAGGCCTTCTTCAGTACAAATTGAAAGCAGGATACTAAGCCCCAATATGTTAAGGTCATGACAAAAAAGTGACAGCCAAGATGACCAATTCATTCCCAATCAGTATTGCCATAATTTACTATATATTATATCCTTTATATATACTCCTGCTTCAGTAATTTCCATTTCAGTTCATCTGATGAAGTGGGTTATTCCCACAAAAACTTATGCCCTGATAAATCTGTTAGTCACAGGACTCCTCATTGTATATCCTTTTAATGATTGTAAATGTTTGTGTTTTACAGAACCCAACAGTTAAAGATTTAATTGGATTTGGCCTTCAAGTAGCAAAAGGTATGAAATACCTTGCAAGCAAAAAGTTTGTCCATAGAGATTTGGCCGCCAGAAATTGTATGTAAGTACAATAATCTAATTCCATGCCACATTATCACACTATTATAGGAGAAGAGTAACCTTGTGGTAAATGTAAAGCTTCCTGGGCTGTATATTGCAATGGAAATGTATTTTCATGTTATACTGATACTGTTCATCTCACATGCAAATGAGCTGCTTTAGCCTGCTAGAGTTACGGCTACACATAAGCATGTTGAATGCAGGCAGAAGGAAAAGAAAAAGGGAGATGGCAACTCTCAAGGTTGGGCTGTCTCAAAATTAAAAAGGAATCACCTGAGGGAATTTAAGCTGCTGTCTCTGTTTGCCTTTTTTTTAATGCTGTGTATTCACCCATCCTACCCATAAACTGCCTTTCTGTGCTGCCTCACCTGTCAGAAAGGGGGGAAATGTGGTGCAAATTTATGGAAAACAAAATGGGGAGAACAAAAAAACAATAACAGTGAGGATACTTTACAGAGGGTCTTTTGTTGCATGGACTTGATATTATTTTGGCTTGACTCTGCACAGAAATGCATGAAACCAAAGTATGCATAGTGTCTGGGTGACCAGACAGCTTAGTTCAGTGGCTCCTAACCTTTTCCAGCATACTTTTGAATCTTTTACAATTTTATGGACCCCTCCATACAATGTAACTGTGCCTGCAGCTTGCACGTCCCTCAGCCCATGCTGCTTCCCAAGCTGCGTCCCTCAGCCTGCTTGGGAAGCAGCACAGGCTGAGGGACTTGCTGGCACGGAGCCTCACGCAGACAGCATGTACTTCAGTCCGTACTGCTTCCTGAGCTATGGGAAGCAATGCGGATTGAAGAACGAACTGGTTGCAAGAGGCTCTGTAAATTTATTTCAATTTCTATTTTAAACTTTCTGCTGACACTCTACATAATAGGATCGTGGTCTACAGACCACAGGTTGGGACTGATTGACATAGTACTTGCCCATATTATGCTGATTCACATCTACAGCATGAACTAATGTGTTATACACAGAAAGTAACTTATAATGATTAATATTATGTAAGGGCTTGGCGCCCTGGTAGCAAAAAAGCTATTCACCCTTGTTATATAATATTTTTAAGTGTGTCTGCTGTAGAAAGCATTGCCTAATTCAGGTACCCTGCAGATCCAGGGATCTATAATGAAGATATGTATCAGGTTATGTATCTTTCAGCTTTTTATGAACTTGGAAATTGCCAGACTGAACCAAACCCAACATCCATCTACAGTAAGTCCCCGGATTACGTCAATCCGACGTAAATCGGACCCTAGTTACAAACGGGGGGGGCGCAGCTAGTGCGGGGTGCCTCCCTCACTGTCGCCGCCTCCGGCGGCATGGGGGGCGCTTCCCCCCAGCAGACCGGGGAGACGCAGAGCGGCTTTTCTCAGCAGACACCTCAGCTCGAGAATAAAGGACTGAGGGAAGTGAGGTGTGGGAGAATAAAACTGAGCTCTGGAGAAATGTTTGGCTAGAGTTTCCCCTACAATATGTACCAGTTCAGACTTACATACAAATTCGACTTAAGAACAAACCTACAGTCCCTATCTTGTACGTAACCCGGGGACTGCCTGTAGTGCAATGTTCTGTCTCCGGCATTGGATGCTTCAGAGAAATGTGTAAGGAACCCCACTTTAGATAGATATGGGATCATCTCCCCCATGAATGTCTCTTCTCAATTGCTAGTAATTAGAAATTGGTTCAAGCATTGAGCATGAGGTTTAATGTCCCTTCCAATACTCCTTTTTAGTATGATCTGTTAGAATTCTGGATGGTTTTGTTATTTCTATAAACAAGTAAGATCCTTGAATGATCTCATGTAGCAATAAGTTCCACTGTCTGAATAATCATGTGTTGTATGGAAAATAATTTATTTTGATCAGTTTTTATTTTGCCATGGTTCAGTTTTATTGAACGTTCCCTTGGTCTTTATGAGGAAGGAAGAAGAGCACTTCCTCTATTACAAGCATTAGTTTATATAATTCTATTTTGTTCCATCTTATAGGACTCTTTCTTAGGCAAACAATGTCAAATTTTCAACAAAAATTGATTTTAGTTTACAGTGTAAGGGCTAAAATGTGTCCCCCTCATTTAGGTGGCCAGGTGTGGTATAGGATTGTCCTACTGGGGCTTTGGTAGAAACATCCTTCTCCTAGGATGCAGTGTGGCTGTTACTGTAGCCTTCAGGTTGCACTAGTTACTGCTATTCATCCATCTCCATTATGTACAGGGTAATGTCCAATGACCCTTCTGAGAAGCTAGTGGTCCACCTTCACCCCAAATTCATCCTTAGCCTAAGCCATGCTGAATGGATAACCTGGGACACCACATAGAATGGGGATTCACCACATGCAGGAGACATGAACCACCTGTGTGGGCTCCCCAAATGCTGCCTTCCCATGGCAATAAAACCACACCAAAAATACTGTGTCTGGCATCCTGTACAGCCAAAGGGGAGGAGGCAGGATTTGCCCATAGGCATTTTCCATCTTATTTATCTATTAAAAAACAAAATTACACCAACCAAAAGATCTGCTCTGTTTATTACAATGTGTACTCCTACTACCTCCTTTGCAATGAACTATCATCAATTCTGAACAATTAGTGTGATAAAGAGGAGTTGTCTTGTTTAAACTATCAAAAAACGGGAGAGGTGGTATCTCAATATGGAAATTACTCGTTTTCTAGGTATGTGGAAAAAGAAGCAAATATATCAGAAATTGTGTAGCATTCACTGTCTGGGTGAACAGGGTTGTATTAAAGATCTTTTTATGATGCCAATTTTTTAAAGAATTGTAATTTGAATGATCAGGGCAATAGCAATAATTTTCTTGAGTTCGTTCAATTTGTTAAATGGATATCAAGGTCTTTTGTTTCAATTTAGCATGAGATAATAGATGCAAGATAGAGTGCTAGCTTCAAAAGTTATGGTCGCAAACACCAAGTCACTTATTATAATCTAGAGAATAATCACAGCCATTGTAAATCCTGTCTGCGCAGATACAGATAATAATTGTTGTCATTTTCATAGGCTGGATGAAAAATTCACTGTCAAGGTTGCTGATTTTGGTCTTGCTAGAGATGTCTATGATAAAGAATACTACAGTGTGCACAATAAAACTGGAGCTAAACTGCCAGTGAAATGGATGGCTTTAGAAAGTTTGCAAACTCAGAAGTTCACTACAAAATCAGACGTGGTAAAGTACAGACTATTTCTGTGTATTTTCTAAAGTTTCTCATTTAAAAACATCCCTAGAAATGTCAAAGGCATCTTTATGACATTTGATTAATGTACTAAGAATATATGTCCAAACCAAAACTAGGGTGGAAACCTACTCCAGTTCACAAAAGAATATGAAATTGGAATTATCCAATTGTAGAGAATACATCTGTGCTTGTTACCAGGGGCAGATGACCATTTTGCGGGGCCCCGGGCAGCATAATTCCGCGGGGCCCCCCCCCTTTGCCACGGCGCATGCGCAGGGCTTTCTGAAGCACGGGGTCTGGGGCACCCGCCCCATTCGCCCTGCCCTATATCCGCCCCTGCTTGTTACAAAGTGACAACAGTTTGGTATGTTTGTCAGTTGCTGCTCAGGAAAGAAAGGGAGGTCTAATCTCACTTTTAGTGAAACAGAGGATAAATCTCTCACTGAGTTTACTGAGAGCAGGATTGGATGTTAGGTTTGCAGATGAAGAAGACACAAAGTTAGCTTTCACATTCTTAAAAACTAACTGCTCTTGAAGAGGCTTTATTTACTTTATATAGTAAACTTCTGATAATCCGACACCTTTAGGACCCGGGGGAGCCGGATTATCAGATATGCCAGACTATCGGCAGAAGGGGCCATGAGTGGACTTG